TCTTGGAGGAAAATAGAGAATTTAATAGATCTGCAGTGAGAGATTAGAATCACGTGGTTTAAATATGTTGTGGCTTTGGACAGATTTATCTATTTATTTGTTTTATAAGGGTTTCAGTTAGATACCACTAAATATTTCACACTGGTCCTTTAAACATAGCTGATTGGAATTTGCTCGCATAAATTTAAAAAAAAGAGAAACTTCTGGATATCCCATCACCACACACCATAAAACGAGTAATAAAAACATAAAATGACTTAAGTCACGTTACTTGTTTTATATCTTTCTAAACTGCTGCGGTACACGACCAAAATGGCTCAGTGGAAGGAAACCAGATCAGACCGGCTAAATGGGGAAATAATCCAGTTCTGCCAGGTGTCAGGAGGTTCAGATAACGCAAAGGTCAAACACATAATACCACAAATATGCTGGTAAAGGCAGATGATGATTGTAAGTTCGATTTATATTTGTGGTTATCTTGAAAATACCGTCGTCAGACACTGATTCACACAGTTTATGAATACAGGTGAGAGCAGATGTAAGTTTTTTTTTTTTTCCCTCTTAAGGTTTAAATAACATTTGATAAAAAGCATCTCGGCAAGTGGAAACTCAAAATGGCTTTTATTTTGAAATACAGTGACCATTTTGGTTTGTGATCCACCAAATTAATTTCAAGTCCTGACGATGTTTCACGTGTTTTTATTTAGTGCCTTTTTTTTCTTTTACCAAAATAAAAATAAAACCATTTCAAGAGTGTTTTGTGTTGTTTTACATGCAGCGAGAAGTTATGGCAGAAGACGAGGTAAAGCTTGTGAATGTGTCTTCTATGTTCTTTAAAAAGCTGCAATGAACCCTCAAATCATGACTTTGTAGCCTCTGTGTTTGTCTGCTTGCCTGTTCAGTGTTACTGATCATTGAATATCATTTCTGTAGGGCGTTAAAGCCTTCAAAGGTTGCCTGCCAAGACCTAGTGGTGATAATACTCATGCTTTTAAATGTCATCAAAAATAGCAATCATGGCTGCTTTTGTATGTATTTCTTGACCCAAATTTATTTACATCTAATCAGACTCCCTGCTCATTGTGACATTAATACGTTTCAACAGTTCAGCCTCGCTAGTGGCAAACCAATATGTGTAATCTAGATCATTCTCTCCACTAGGTCACTCCTCTCTGTTCCCCATGGAGGACGAACGCTCTTTCGGAGAGGACGAGTCAGGTGACCAGGGGCTTGCTGGCCTTGGTTCGGCCCACTGTTTCCCCCACCTCAATGGTGAACGTGTGGAGCGATATTCTCGCAAAGTGTTTGTTGGAGGGCTGCCCCCAGACATAGATGAAGGTATAAACGTGTTACAGCTGCAGGGGATGCTTCTCTAGCCCCAGTGTTCAAGTCTAAATAGGTCCAAACCTACAATATTGGCTTTCATTTGTGAGAATTGATTGTAAAATTATATAAATACAGGGATATCACATATTTTGTAATGTTTACAACTCTCATTTCAGCTTTACTGTATGTGAAACTTGTATTAAATACTGTCACTGATTACTTTGATTAACGTTTTCAGATGAAATCACTGCCAGTTTCCGCCGATTTGGTCACTTGTTCGTCGACTGGCCCCACAAGGCAGAGAGCAAGTCCTATTTTCCACCAAAAGGTTAGTGAAACCAGTTGAACGTAATGTTTCTGCTACCGTGTTGACTGTACAGCAACGTGATGACGAGTATTTGCTGTGCGTGCTCATTGTTCCGTATGTCCAACCTTTCCAGGATATGCATTCCTGCTGTTTCAAGACGAGAGCTCTGTTCAGGCCCTGATTGACGCCTGTATTCAGGAGGACGGCAAGCTGTACCTGTGTGTCTCCAGTCCCACCATCAAAGACAAGCCTGTGAGTTTGTTTTTATGTTCAGCTGCTTACAACAAGTACAACACTAACAGAAATGTTACAACAATAGACTCTTGTTTGTTTTAGTTTGTCTGGTCATTGTATCTCAGAAAACTGGAAAGTTCAGTACAGTTCCCTAAATTGGGTAACCTGACTGCGGCAGATGGTTTGTTGCACAGAACCAAGAAGGGGAAGTTGTCATTGGAAACTGTTCGAAAAGGGCAAGCGCGTTCAGAAAATACTTGGCAGCTGCCACAATGAATCATCCGTTCATTCAATCTGATAACAAACCATATAACACGGTCAAACTCCTGCCGAAGCCAGTTGGCAGTAGAGCAAAAACAAATACACTGCTGTTGTTTTGTCAATGAAGAAATACTCGTCAGTTCTGATGTAACTAGCAGCAGCTACGCTAACCTCTGCAGCAGCAACCGCCATCGTTGTTTTAGAGCAGTCACTTCTCAATGCGTTAATCCATATTACATAAACTGCAAGCCGCTTTTATTTTCACAATCCAAAATGTATCTTTCTTAAAAAGGACTGAGAGGAAATTAATGTTTCATCTTCTGGTTTTGTAGGTTCAGATCCGACCCTGGAACCTAAATGACAGTGATTTTGTAATGGATGGCTCTCAACCATTGGACCCGAGGAAAACTATCTTCGTAGGAGGTGTCCCTCGTCCCCTGCGTGCAGGTACGTGTGTGTGTGTGTGTTCACCCTTTACTGTATTACATTCCTAGGACTAGTTTTGATCCCATTAACTTTGCATTGTGTATTGTTATTCCAGTGGAGCTTGCCATGATCATGGACCGTCTGTACGGGGGAGTGTGTTACGCTGGGATCGACACAGACCCTGAACTCAAGTATCCAAAAGGGGCGGGCCGAGTAGCCTTCTCCAATCAGCAAAGCTACATTGCAGCCATTAGTGCCCGATTTGTTCAACTGCAGCACGGGGAGATTGATAAACGGGTGAGTCCATCGGATCTTAAAAATAAAGAGTGGATGTTCATAAAATATTAACTCCCACCTGTCTGACAAGCTGC